CATATTTATGCTGCGTGCTCCCGTTCTCCCAGAGTCCAAACTTTCCTGTGTTCTTCTCAAGAACATAGTTGACGAGGACATGAGTCCGTACTCGCATTCTTGTGAATTGAGAAACGGCCATGATTAGCCTGAAAACACTTTGCTAACATCACTAGCTGCCACCAGAGCCGTTAAATAGGAGTTTTTGCAGCAGAACATCAAAAAGTTCAGTAATTTGGCGGAAATGCTTGGTGTCCTGTTCAAGATACAGGCAAATCTGTGATAGACTTTATACTTTTGGTAATTATTTAAAAAAAATTTGTAATGAAATAATGAAAAACCTTATGGATTGAGAGGTTAATTTCCGAATTATAGTTCTGTTATTAGCTATGTGAAATATGTTGGGTTTTTTTCTTTTCTAGAGCCTGTTTCAATCACATTCAATTTACTCATGCGTTGTGTTTATAGATGTAAATGTTTAGTTTACATGATCAAAGACAAATAGAGAAACCTAAATGTCATTTTCTACTGCCTATGCTCCCCTAATCGCTATGGTAATGATAGCATGGGCGTCTAAATTATAACGAAAGATTGAATTTCTTCGTGTTGCATTGATCTTTCAAATATTGCCCACTGTAACCAATGGAGCTGTCAGAACTCTCCGATTCAATGGCTCTGGCTGCAACTAGGAAGAAAACAGTCGAGGCGTGATTTCCTGAAAAGTAGCCAATCACACAAAAATTGACACTAACGGACAGAAACATTAAGACATACTAGGGGGCTCATGGTATTGAATCTGCAAAATGTTCAAAATATGTGTGGAGAGAATTTTGTTTCTGTGTTTGAAATAAAGGAGTGTTCTGACTTTATATGCAAGAGACAGGTCTTAAAAGGCTTGCTTATGTGAACATTGTGAAAATTGTTTGTTTTAGTTCTACCTTCTTGTTCTACCCTCTTGTTTTAGTTTTTTTTTTAAGTTATTGCCGGAAAAACATTAATTCATTGATTTGAAAAATAGAGAAAACTGTTTCATTCAAAAATATCTCAACAAATACTGCTATTAATAAATTGTGAAAAAATATCCACATGGAATAAAATATGTAAAAAAAATGTATCTCATTTATTATATTTAAATATTTATTTATTCAAAGATCTATTAATTACTTTATTTATTATATTATGAATTATATTATGTATTTATTTAGCTATTTATGAATTTATTTATTTATTTCTGTTATTTTGTGAAGCTTTTATTTTGTAAAGCTACTTTACGTACACATTTACTTTTTTTTTGACTCCGTTTTTCCATTTTAAGCTTTTATTACATGTTCTTATATTCAAAAAAGGAGGCAGAGCATTATCTGTTGGCCAGCGCTGCATATGCTTTGAAAAACCGGAAACACGCAATTCATGATTATCAATCAATTCATAGTATTCCTGCTCTATAGTGACAGTATTCCTGTCACTACCCGATGCGTACTCGAATCACAATCCATACCTGGAGCTCATTTGTGCTCATAAATCTTTGAATAAATGAAATCTTGAAATATAATAAAGCAAAGATTATTTTCACATATTGTCAACATATTCTCATTATCAGTTCGTATGAAATCGTACGAAAAGTTATGAACAGTATTTCGTACGTTTTTGACGTTTTTCCTCAAAAAAACAGATTAGTGCGCATGCGCAGCCAGACAGACGAAAAAAGCAGATCCGCGGACGGACGTAAAACTGGGAAAAACAGTGCAATAATTACTTCTTCATGTCTCTCACTAGGTAGCTTGCTGTTTTGTATCTTAGGGTTAGGGTTAATTGTATGTTAAATTCTATGTTATTGAATGGTGTGTAAGATGCGCATGTGCAAGGATATCTTGTCTCGAGGCAAGACGTAAAAATACGACGAAATACGACAAAAAAAACATCAAAAAAGTTAGAAATTACTGTGCATAACTTTTCGTACGATTTCATAAGTACTGATAATGAGAATACACTGATATTGTTTATTTCATAGGGATTTTTATTTAATGGAGTATTTATTTTCATCATTTATTTTTATTTGTGCTTATATTACATGAAATGGGTTAATGTGACAAAACGTAAAAAGAGGTCAATGTTTGTGAATACTATGGCAAGGCCCTATAGGATATATACTGATTTTATACTGTAGCGGTCATGAAAAACGTAGGGTTGATCACAGAGGCAGGCAGTTCAAATCAAAACCAGTCCAGCTCACTTTCAGTTCAGATCTAATCCATTGAGAGCATATTTATCTAATCCAATCAAATTAAATTAGTTCATTTACACATCATTTTCTGAAAGTAAAAGGTTAAACACCAATTTATTTGGTAATAAATATTGAGTGTTACATAAGAAAGTAAGCTGTTCGTGGCACGATGAGAAAGGGAGTCTGAGTGAAAAAGGTGAAAAAGTGAAGAATAGGAGCTGATAGGAAACACATGGATACGACATCAAAAGAAATTACAGCAAGAACAGGAAGGCAACACATTACGCATGTCTCATGGAAGATGGGAAGTGTTTTTTAAACTCATTGCTTTGATCTACAATGTCATTTCTCCAGTTAAGACACTATATCTACAAAACAGAGAAAGTCCAACCATCAAGCTGCTACAATAGAGGCAAAGAATGTGTTTTCCTAATCAAGCTGACTGTAAACCCGGCTGCAACATTAGCCGCTCATGGCTTTAATCTTAAAGTGATTTCTCTGACTACCAAGGGGCATTTTCTAATATTGGAAAGAGGCACTAACCTGGATCCTGCTGTGAATTTAATTTGATGGTGAAGCATCTTATTAGCGGTGCAAGCTAAGCTTTTATCCAGCTCTGGGATTCTTAATCAGTTTTCTCTTGACATACTTTTTCAGAATTGCTATTCTAAAAGTGTTCACAATGAAGACAAACTCTCCTGTGGCCTCACTGAAATGGTGCCGGTTTAAATATAATTGGAACACGTTACAACCTAATCTCTATGCACCATTCCTTTCTGCACGTGTTTCAAGATTAAGTGAAAATAAGCTGGGTGCATTTTTCCACAAAAATTAATATATTTACTATTCCAGACTATTCCAGTAAAAATGATTAAATGCTGCACCTATTTGCCTCTTAGAGTTTTCTGATTTTTTTTTTCCCTTGGCTTTTGTCTGTTTTATAATCAAGGTCTATTCTTCTGTTGCCTGCTATTTCTCTTTTTTTATGGCACAGGTCTCATCTCAGGCTGTGATTTTTTTAGTTGTTCATTTTGCTATAAAAATTAAGGAGCTGACAGTCCAGAAAATAACCCTTCCTAGTTATGTTCTAGTTATAGTGCATATTTGCACCACATATATTTAAAAGTGTTGCGCCGATGCTAATTTGTAGCCTCAATAGCGATACCCGATACCTGGCTGTGCAATATCGGCCCAATACTGATACCATCTGTTTGAAACTGATGTGTCTGTATGAAGAACTGCATACTACTTGGATGTAAAATAATAGCCATCATAGCTTTGTCAAGCTGCTGCCTACCTTTGTGAATCAGGAAAAAGACTAACACAAAGTGAATCCAGTAGAACTTTTTATTGCCTACCTGGAATAGGTGACAATAGTTGAATAAACTTTTGGCTCTCAAAATGGTATCGGTGCCCTATTTGTTGGTACTCACCGATACCGATAACAACATTTTAGTGCTGGATCGGGGCCTGTCTGGTGAACTGTAGAGTGCCTTGACATGACATCGTTGTGAATTGGCCCTATATAAATAAAGTGAATTTATTGAGTTTAAATAAATGAAAGCATTTGCTGATTCAGCAATCTATAATTCACATATTAGCGTATTAGAGCCACAACATCTCCATATTGCTTGCAAGTGAAGCCTTACAGTTCAGATATTAACATGTTGACTGAACTTAACTGAAATGGTGCCATTAAACAATAGGTGGATGCACCCATTGCTCATCATAACTGCTCCAACTAAATGTGTATCTGTGATGCTGTGGGTTTTTTTTCTCTTTAGAAGCCTCTAGAAACCATGTTTCAGAGCACAGCATCATGTATTCTCTGTAAAACCAGGATATTTTATTAAAGACTGATAAAGTTACCAGTAAATGGTCCCACTCTCTTTCAACAGAGCAACTTTCCAAACATCAGGGCCAGATTATCATAAAGATTGCTAATCATAAATAGATTTTATTGATCAATTCAAATTTGTGTAAATGAAGTTTATATTTTCTGGGAACTCTGTCATTTTTTTTTGCAAACGTTTGGTTTATTTTCATTGTTTACAGTCGCCTGAAAGCTTGTTTTACCAAGTTTCAAAGCTTGTACTTATCCACGGTTCAGTTTGAATTCAGTTTAATTTCCAGAGAGGATCACTGAAATAAAAGTATTTTTTTTTTATAGTTACTGATATTTATAATTTATTTTCATAAAATAAAATCAGGAGAGATATTTATGAATCATATTTGGTGTGAAAACACTTTCAGATTTTTTTTCTAGCATCCGTTTTATTCCTAGAACCGGTGGATTTGTTGAAAATGTTTGTTCCTTGACATTGATTTTCTTCCCCCGGAAAAATTAACTCAAATTGATCGTTGTTTCTTTTCAGTGTGAGATTATGCAACAGCATTACATATCTCTTATTTACTTTTTAAATATATTTTCATAATTTCCACCTCATTAGGGGTACCAAAAAATACACCTAGATGCAAAGAGATTTGTTCCTTTTCTGTTGTGAATAAAAGAAGAATCAGCCTAGAGGATCAAATTGTTATTTTAAAGACATCAGGATCCAGTCTCTGTTTTTTTATTTTTTTTTGTTCTTTTTCATAACCAACTGAATTTAACAAATGGCACATTAAACTTCTAATTAGGGGTATTAGGGTCACAGATATCCTCTTGGATGAGGGGTAGAGACCAACACAACAAATAGTGGTTGGAACTTAGGAATGTTAGTAGGCCAGAGGAGCTTTAGGTTCTTAGTAAAGTTAGTAGCCATCTTTGTTTGTTAGACCACTGCATATGTATTACCTGAGGTTAGTCTCTGAGGCACTCCTTTGGTGCAGTTCCTCTTCTTTATCCATCAAATCCTCCTGCTGCTCCATGTCTCTCTCTATCTTTCTCCCTGACTCTTTGCTCCCACCCTGCATCCTCTCCTCTTTACAACTCTCTCTCCCCCTGTCTCCAGCCTCATCCTCCTCCTGCACCTCCCCTAACTGATTATCTACTTCCCATGAATGCCTTCTGGACTGCAACTGGCTGAAAACGGAGACAGAAGCGAAAAGACAACAGCACATGCAAGGCAAAAAGAAATGAACGACATCAAAAACAACAGACAAATGATCCAGAGACACAGCAGCCGATTGGAACGTTAAACAAAAACAAAGTGAGCTCAGAGAAAAGCATCATGCAAATGACCTTGGTTTAACTTGGAGTACAAGATTAATTGTGTTAAACTGTTTAGTGAAAGATATGCAGCAATTAATCCATGACTAAGTGAAGTTCAGGCATTTTGGTTCTTCTGTTCTAAGAAAGGTAGAATGAACCTGACCAAATAAATATATCTAAAAAAATGAATTTCTCTTCTTAGATGTAAACAGCAGAAAAAGAAACACCTGAACATTGAGGTATGCAGGTGAGAAGCAGTTTTCCCATTTCAAGAGAGAAATGTCATCTCCCTGATCTCGATGTGAACTTACCGGATCTTGCGGTTTCCTTGCGGTCTTTCTGATTGGACAGAAATGTAGCTCGTGCTGCTGAACCGAGAGGCACTGCTGGTTCTCGATACAGCGGACACGTCGCTTACATCGCTGTCCGATGACCTGGCTGACAGGTTGTCAGCGGCCCGTGGGTCTCTGCCTGAGCGCTGTAGACAGATAGGCAAATAGGAATCTTAATGCAACGGTTTTTCCGGGATACATTTGTGAAGGACAAAAAAATTAGAAACAAGGGTTAATATTTATTCAGGAAAATCAATTTCTTAAATAATTATTATTTAATTAGATTGAATATTTAACCTTAATAAAATTATCTATAAGGATTAAAATATGCCAGTGATCTAAAAATTACAGAATTAATTCATCATTAAAAATAATGTTTTACTCTATTATCAATCTGGCAATATTGTTAATGTTACTGGTTTTTCTAGAACCTGAGCTAAACTTACTGGCTGATGTCTAGAAATGTTTAAAACATAATTTTTATCTTTAAAGATGCTATTAGCAAAACACTTAGAAAATACAGCTGCTTTACGCAGGTGGGATGGTGTGAGACCAAAAATCTCTGCTCTTATGGTTTGAATTTTGTTTCATTATTGTTGCAAACAAAAAAGACATGCAAATGGAAATAAAAAAAGAAATGCAATCCAGAATGAAACTTCAAAAAACTTTTCTAAAAAGTTTTTGGGAGTTGTGTCAAGTTCAGCATAAAAGCTTTCTTGTCCAATAAAAATGTTGTTGCTAAGGTCCACGCAGACCCATAGAAATATGTTTTTACTCTTCACTTCAGAGAAAAGTCTGCCCACTGAAGAGGTATATCTAAAGCCCGATTTGAAAAGAGTTATTTTCAATAAGGAAAATAAGGATAATGTGATTTTTCTTAAATGCACACAATCCGAAAAATGTCAATAAATGAAATTTGAAAAAATAAAATCTGATTTTTTATTTGAAAAAAACAGGAAAAAAAACTCAAAGCTATTTTAAATAAGACATTTTTATTTTTGTTTGATTTCAGTGTGGCGTTTTTGTTATTTTTTTCAAACTTTTATTCACATTATATGTTTTTTGCATGCAAAAATAATGAAACAAAATTAATTCCACACCTTCTCTTTACCCCATAGTGCATTTGCAGACAACAGTCCTGCTTTTTATAATTGCTATAGAGATATAAGCGCATCGTGCAAATAAAATAACTTCTTCCCTTTTATCCAGTAAAATTATTAACCAAACAAGCAGCCATTAATTGTCTAATAGGGAATGATTAGAGAACACAATACACTTGATTGGAAGCTGGTCTGGAATGATCATCTTAACACAGAGCTAGTTTAGTGTTTATATTTCTAAGGGGAATGTTTATTGTAAGAGTAGCTGGGCTGAGAGTTACAGTAACTGTTTGTGTCAAAAACAGTCGCCAAATGGTTTACTAATAGGAACCGCTTTGCTATGTCAATGAGCGCTCTAATGTTCGACAGACAGGGACAACTTAGAACTAAATCTGCTTTTTATAGACCTTGAAAAAAGTGTGCAGCTTCTGTCAGTGCAATAGTTTGCATAGCACTGACTTAAAAGGAATGCAGACCTTTGTCTTTGTCTTGGCTTCAGTGTGATAGCAGGTGAATTTTCCTGAAAGTCTTCAGAACTTTTTCCAGAGACGAATAGCAGCTATTTGATTATGGAAAAACTCAGTGACACATTCTTTAGAACTATAAATAGACACTCTGACCTTTGGTTTTATTTTTCTATCCATTCTGATTTCATTATTAAACAATAAATGATCATTGTTTGTGTTTGGCAAAGCAGAAAATTTATGAAGACCCACAATGCATAATGTATTTTTACCAAGTTGCACTAAGTAATCGACATATATTCAGTAAAAATACGCCTAGTGAAAGTATTAATCCTTTGTAAAGAATGAAAACGAAGGAAAAGGATGATTTTGAATACATTTATCACAAACAAAAAACAGCTTCATATTGTTTTGATATGTCTCTACAGGCTTTGTGGTTTAAAAATATTATTTATTTGTAATTTCTTTTCTTAAATAGCTCAAAGATCAACTTTTATCTATTGCTTTAAATTCTTAATTTAGGTCTAAACCTCCACTATGCCTTTAAAAAATATACAGATTTAATTCATTTAATGCATTCTACTGTAGCTCTTTCTTCATGTTTAGGGTTTTTGTCAACCTCTGAGCTGTCCCTAGTATTTTTCTCCTGTAGATTTTTTATTGTTTTGTTTTGTTTTGTTTTAGCATAATACATCCAACCAGAAACCATGCTTATAAAGAAGTAACAATGAGTCTTTAAACACTTTGTTTTACAGGAATAATGGCTTGTTCAGAATGATGTACAATGTTAGTAATGTCCTTGAATGTCATTTTACATATATGCCAAAAAGTTTGATTATTTTCTTGTCTGGTCAAAGGATATCGTTCCACATGTGTCCCCTATATCAACTGGGAAAAACTGTAAACATAACATTTTTCTTTTTCAGCAAAGGGATTGTTCTTGCTACACTCCTGTAAGTTTTTGATGAATTAATTTATTTAAAGTTGAATGATTTTCCTAAATGTTTCATAACATAATCTTAACCCCTAAACAAAGTTTTCTCTGATATCATGAAGATCTTTGCATAAGATTAAGGGCTAATTTTTAACTATTTTTTTCTTGCAACGTACTGAATTTAAAGATTAAAATAAAAGTTATTGAATTGTAAACAGCCCTAATATGATGACTAATATTTTGAATGTGTTGCTGTCTACCTAAAAAAACCTTCTTTCCAGGATCATACACTTTGTATTGATAATGACTATAACATGGTAAAATGTACAATGATTCAGATATAATCACAAGTTTTACTTTTGAAAGGAGCAAAGCACAAGTTCCAGATTTTTTGTAGATATTTTTCCACTCTGTGAAGCTAAAAAAAAAAAAAGAAGATTTAAAAGATACGACTAAATCTCCATTGAGCAAACCTATGTTATATATTTGAAATGTGCACAAATAAATGAGCAGCAAAGAATGTTCCTGAGAGAGTTAGTACTGTGCTTGAAAGCTTCCAGAAAATGCCACTGTGTGTCATGGACTGTAAGACAACCAGGAACAAAGCAGGAACGTGATGTTTACTGTGAACCTGGTGTTGAAGTCTGAATCCAGCATCTGGGTGGTTTTGTACCTTGGGGTAGTCTTGTTCAAGTCTGGAGTCGGAGCTGGCTCCCTGCTTGTACTTGTTCAACTTTAATTTCATGTTTCTGGTCTTCTGCTCCATGTCCATACCTGTGCACAGAGGTACAGCCTGGTCAGACAGAAACTAGCACTGAGAAGAGGACCTGATGAGAGAACATTCTGCTATGGTGAGAGACAAGCTTCTGCAGAGCATTGAGCCATGGCCAGACAGGTCAAATCAATAAAAGGAGAATGCATAAATAATAATCAAACATACTTATAAAACCTCTTCAATTCAATTCAGTTTATTTATATCGTGCCGATTCACAACACATGTAATCTCAAAGCACTTTACAGTTCAACCAGATCATACAGTCAAATCGATTCAAAGTTTTCTATCTAAGGAAAACCAGTTGATTGCATCGACTCATTGACTCGAATGCAATCCCTCACACTAAGCATGCTTGTAGCGACAGTGGAGAGGAAAAACTCCCTTTTAACAGGAAGAAACCTCCAGCAAAACCCGGCTCAGTGTCAGCGGCCATCTGATGCCGCAGCATATTTCAAACTAAATGTACCGAGACATTGCAAAACTCCAACACAAAAAATACATTTTTAAATGACAGGATTATTTTAACCATAATTTAAGCACAGTAACAGACCATTTATAGCATACCCCTTGCCATACAACAAAACTGAAATTAGTTTTATTTATTTAATTATTATCACGGCTTGTGTTTTTTTTTTTTTAAGTCACGTCTTTTTAAATGGTGCAAGTTCAGTATCATCATGAATAAAAAACAGACACAAACTAAACCCTGAAGACATTTTTCAAAACCTTCAACTAGAACATCGACATCAGCTGTTGAGATTCAAGATATTTTTAGATCTAAGCCAGAATTATACGTTCTGCAGCAACAACACTTCTTCTCTCCCCGCTTTGGTCTTTGTGTCTACAACTGCATCACTCAATGGCAGCATTACATGAATGTTAAAGCTCACATTATGCCATGCACTTTAGCAATGAGACTAAACATTCAGACACACATGCACAAACGGACAGCAAAATAAAAACTTTTTTATGCCACATGTCAGAGGAACTCATCTCCTTGTGGATTTAACTCCCATTGCTTGGTAATAAGGATATACTTACTTATCTTAAATAAAAAAAAAAAAAAAAACAGTTCTAGATATTTTCAGCTGTGAGAAGTTGAGCCGAGACTCAAACGGACAGATACACCAGTGCTAACAACGCTCTTCAGTAATGATACTCAGACTGAGTTAAGAAGAATCAAAGTTGGCTATTTTTAGTGTTGTTTAAAGTTGTAGGGAAACGGCTATTCCAACCGTTACATTTCCAAATTCTCCTGAGTGGCGCACGACTTTACACGAGTGAATAAAGTGAATGTGATTGGTTGTTTATCATGGGGGCGGGATTGTTGTGGCCAGTTTATCGGAAGCATCTTGCTAATCAGTTAGCAACTTAGTGCTAGTAGGTTCCCAATGGGAAATTCCATTGGGACCAAGTAGCACTAAATTGGTGACTTAGAAACGACACTGTCAAGGAACGCTACGGACAGAGGAAACATGCAAGAGGAGGAGAGTTTAGTGTCAGAGGTTGTAGATGAGTCTCCTCCGTCATACATTTTTTATCTAGAGGTGGAAAGCGGGGACGAAGATGTTGTGGAAGAGGACGCCAGGGCGGCAGAAGCTTGGTTTGGTGTAGAAGACTTACAGCCGTACATGTTTGAGCCCTTGCCTCGCAACGCTGCCAGTTCTGTTAGCTCTACGCCTGCTGAAGACACAGACGTCCATCCCCGTGAAAACTGGGACGGAACTCAATGAGAAAGGAAAATATTCTTATTTCTTATTTCAACTGTTGCGTATATTAGCTGCGACATATGACTCAAGATGCTATGACGGAAAAAAATGTGATTGACAGATGACCGTTAATATATGATTGGTTGAATTTAGGTGTTCATGCTGACGTATAACTAACTGGCCGGCATAAGATAACAAGAAAAAAAAAAACACAGATTTTAAGACAGGATTTTTTTAATAGAAATCTTCTACATTTTGGGACAATATGGTCTGATAAAGAGTACATTTATATACATCTTTAAGCCAGGATGATTTGACATCTGAATATAACTTCCCTACGACTTTAAAAATAAGGTCAGAAGATGCACATTAGTGCAGGAATTTATTTAAAAGAAAACTTCTATCCTGATGGAATTTTTTCTCCACAAAGTTACCATATGCTCCCAATATAAATATGGCTCCTCTTTGGGCCCAAAAAAACAAATAAGATTGCAAAGTATGAGGGCACAATATGCGAAAAGAGCACAAACATAATACATACCAATACAGGCATTATTACGATTTAAAACTAGTGTAATCTTAGAATTAATCTAGATAAATCTACATAAAAATCGCTCATTTGAAATCTGTCTCCAGTATTTTTATGTTGCAATTTCGTGTCCCACTTCCAATTATAGATGTCCCAATTTAACAATATAGTGTCTTCAAAAATCTGACATGCACTTCGTCTCGTTTAACTTCTCATCATTAGCGGCTTTCTCTGCGGCCTGCTGGTCATGTATTCTCCTTATGATAGTTTGCCTGGCAGGTAGTTTGTAAGATGAGTCACCTGTGGCCGCCTGGAGAACGAGCTCGAGCCCATAAGCCGGGCGTCTTGTGGCTATCCACTGAGCAAGTAGATTGGTTAGCTTGGCTAATAAAGCTGTCCTTATAGCTGCATCCATGTCAGCATGACATTTTCATTGTGGTTATTTCACAGTAGGCCTACACAGGTTGGAAAACTGATTAATTCTACGTTCAGATATACGTACATCTGCACTAAAATATCAAGGTGAAGGTTATCTTTAGTATAGACCCAGCTCCCAACCCAACTGTGAGAATAGAATAACGACGATACAACAGAGGGGGTGGTCTCAGCTTTCAGCTCTCAAAAACTTACAACGCAGCAATGGAAAAAATCTAAATCTAGATAAGTTAATATCCCTCTGGGATTATTAAAGTATGTCTTATTCTGATTCTGATTCAGATTTTTCTTAAAATAAGTGAATTTTTTCTTGCATTGACAAGGTAAAAGACACATTTAGCCAATGGAACAAGACGATTTACACTTAAAATAAGAAAACACAATTGTATTGTCTTATTTCAAGTGCATTTTATCTAAATATCTTATTTTAAAGGTAAAAATACCCTTTCCATTGGCAAATCATCCAATTTGCCTAATCAAATTAATGGTAAATTCACTTAATTTAAGACTGATTCCTTCCCGCTATCATCTCAATCCTCATCGCCATGCAAAGAACCAAAACATCTCGCCTGGTCAGCCAGTCCAACAATGACCCTAACGACTCCCGTTTCAGAGGCATAGGCCAGTATGGGGTATAGCAGGCCAACAAAGACCTCAACGACTCCCCATTACTCAGGGGTGGACCTTTTCTTTCGGTTCAGTTTGCATGGTTTCTAAGCCATAACAAGGCTTTTTTGGGCTACTATATAAAGCTTGGAACTAAAACGCTAATTCAGACATTATGAATTGAAAAAGCTTCCTGGGTGGGAAGCGAAACATCTTCAAACTTGGAAAACAAAAGTCCAGTGGATTGTTTTTTTTTTACTTTTTTGGAATGACTATAACCTGGATGACAGAGAATTTTTACAAGCATAAGCCTCAATACCATTTTCTTCCCCTCTTTTGATATAAAGCTAAATATTTTGAATTATGACTAGAATATCAATAAATAAATATATCAACAAATAACTACAGAAGACCTTATAAGACTCAGAAAAAATGTGCTCTAACAATGTCTGTTGCAAAGCACTGGGCACACTGCCATCATGCTTCATCCATAAGCAGCAAAAGTAAAGTTACAGTATAGACATAAATGAAACTGGAAGCATCCTCTACAGGACAACTTAAAAAGCACAAAAAAGGAGCCAAGCAAAGCATGGACAGAGTAGGGATGAGGGGAAGAAGAAAAGGAAGAGAGAGCAGAAGAAGGGACAGACCTGAGTTCGTCCAACTGGGTGAGCCCGTGTCTTCTGGGTTTACATCACAAAATGGACAGACACAGACAGAGGAGAGGAACATGGATGTAAGAGGATGCACAAAGGGTAACAAAGGGGGGGGAACCAAGTCAGGACAAGGACAGTGTGTGTTGGTGTGGAAATGGGACAGATTTAAAGGGTTACAATGAGAGGAAGTTGGAGGAAGGAGGGATGGAGGATTGGGGACACAAAAACAACAACAACAACACAACATTGACAAAACAGCAAACACAGAAGACACAAACGAAATCATCACATTCTCTAAAAACAGGCAAACTCCACCATGGGCACCCTGAGAAGCTGAACAGAGGAAGAAGGTGGAAGATTCAGGGAGGTTAAGACAGAGTTTAGTTATTAGAAAACCAAAGGAGGGAGGAGGGGATTCTCCGGCTTTAAGGAAAAAAAGAGAAACAGGAAAGAGATGTTAATGGGCCAAATCTGACCAAAACTGGAGACCCTGTTAAACGAAGATGTGAAGAAAAGAGAGGAGAAGGAGAAAAGGAAGAAGTAGATGTCACTTTTGAATGGAGAAACTGTGGGGAGACAGCCTGAAATAAATTAAAAAACAAAATAAAAGAAAGCAGAGCTGGAAACACTGAGCAGCAAGCACACCAAGAAGGAAAAACAGCCAGCTCCTTCAGCGTGCTTCACCAGGAAAAATGGTGTAATTGGCTAAAACACAAGTGTCACCTTGTAGCAAAGTAGAATGGGACAGTATGTGTTAAAACGTGAACACATTGACAAGCAGAAACATGCAGAAATCAAACACTTTGTTTCAGAAAAAAACTTTTACAGCAGCAATAAGTCCCTCTGCCTCCCATATATTCAGTCTGAATTAGTATTATTTATGAACTTACAAACGTTTAGCTGTATAGATGAACTGCACCTCCATGTCACTGGCAGCAGCCCCAACTATGTGAACATGCCTGACCACTTGTACCACCATCCTTTGTCTTCAAACCATCATTCCTAATCTGAATCTGTACCAAAGCGGTAAAGCTGAGAGAGCGCTGACATCACTTCTCATTCTTAAACCACCCCATCAAAATTAATTAGCATTTTGCTCAAATAAAACCCGATTAATGCGTTTTAATGAAGTGGTGCATGGATTAAAAGACAAGTGAGTCACCAGCTTTCATCTTTTTGTGACAGTTAACATCATCATAGGCAGTCGGACAAAAACCAGAACAATGGGTTTGCTGTACTTGAGCTTGACTCGTGGGTTAGAGATCAAAACACGACCATTTGACGTAGCGGAATAAACTTCAAGTCAATACATCAGCTTAAGATTTTGTAGAAATGCTAAGAAAATAAAGATTAACTTGCAATAACCTGAAAAGATATAGAAAAATATTTAGCACACCAAACCAAACCCACAGAATGAGTTAGTCTGTTATGTGCTGACATGGGGAGAAGAACCGAATAAACCCAGCAAAAACCACACCTGAACGCTCCACATATCATGGCTCAAGCAAAGGAGAAACTTTAAACTTAACATGCTTTTTCTGTGAGATGACAACACAAATCTCTGCAATGCATAAAACAACTGAATAAAAAAAAACGTTTGGTTTCATTTTAAGGTACTGAATCCGATAATTATCCCTTCCTGTGTGCAGGACCTGCTGTAGGTGAAGTCTCCAACTTTACAGCCTCACAATGCCCGAATAAAGCTACATTCTGTCATTATAATAGTGTTATATAGCAGTAGACCCCCCCAAGGGTTTAAGAACAGCAGCTGATTTGATTTATGCTTTTTCAGACATTTTTGTTGATTTTGATGTAACCAGTAAACAGGTTAACTCCTAAAACCTCTCAGCACTGATCTAATGTTCAGTTACACATGATTAGTGTCACAATAGTGTGCTCCAGCTCTTTTTTCTAAATAAAAAAAAGATGCATTTCTTGCACCATAACAAAAAAGTTAATAATAATAAAAAAAACATTCAATCTCAAAAGCTTAGATGTCCCTCATTATCCTCCAGTCATTTTCAGTGAAAACAAATAGACAAAGCAAATTGTTTTGTTAAATGTTATTACAAGTAAAAATAGTTAGACTTAGTTTAAAGTTTACACTGGGATTCTTTATAAAGCATAAAGCAATGACTTCAAGTCATTAAAATAACAAACAAAATTGCGTAGAAAAACAGTATGGAGTAAAAAAGCTTAGATTTTCGAACTGTGTTTAGAACGTCAATATAAAATGGAGCCATACATTAAACCAAAGACTTCATCCCTTTTAAAACTAAGACTATGATTTTATCCAGACACACAAACACACCCACACATACAAAGAACAAAGTAAATTTATTTATTTTGCTGCTTTTTTTCTTCTAAGTTGCACATTATGGCTTTGTTTGCTTTCGGCGGCTGTGTCCTCTGAAGGACCCAGTCCGGATCCAGGTAGGCTCAAAAATTAGGAGGCTGGAAGAGCTGGAGAAGTTCGGCTATAGATTCAAACAGGTCCAGCCTTCCCCGACTGTCTCGCCCCTCAGTCAGCATAAGCTTTGTCGCTTAGCAACCATTAAAGTTGATTCACAAAGCAGGCAAAGAATGGATGCCAACTTCTTCCTTCTGTCCTGTGTGCTAATTTCATTTTTCAGCAGTGTCACTACTACCTGATCCCTCCCAGAAGCATGATCCATTCTGCACCATCAGCTCATTTGCACATCCAAATATACGTCCGGGTCACCTTCGAATTTATTTAAGACCTAAATGGTGTTTTCCCCTCCCCAAAATAGTAAGCATACTAAAATATGATGTGTTAAAGGTTAATAATGAATCTCCTGAGAAATGTCTTAAAATCTTTTCTGTTTTGTCACTCGTCTCTGCCGGATCTACACCGGAAATGGGAACCTACGCTGCTTCCAGGAGCTAACTCTCGGCTTTGGATTTAAACATAAATCTAGTCTTTTTTAGTTTTATGTTTTCCTTTCGTTTTAATCTTATGGTATATAGTGCATAATCTAAAGAAAGAAGCGACTAAAATGCAGATAAATGATTTGTAGTCCTGACGCTGCACAGATATTGGAGTATTTTCATTAATTTAAGACGAAACTATTCACATACTTTTATTACATTAAACTGCACTTGCAACGTTCACCACTGGTTGTCACCATTTCATTTTGTCCTCTGAACACGGAGCAGCTGGCTTGCTTGGACTCACAATGAATCATGGGATACCCTAGACCAAGGGGTAACCAATTAAAAATCAGCGGGGTCCGAATAAAGGATAAACCAGTAAAGGTCCAGAGACATTTTTAATTATAATCTGTTACTTTAAACAGAATTTAACAGTGAAATAAAAGCAGGTTTTTATGCATCCATGTTATTAATTGACTTTTTAAATAAAAAAAAATAAAAAAAAAAAATAAAACATTTTTACATTTTAAAATCCAAAGTGTTTTTTGAAGTAGAGAACAACAATCGTTCAGTTTGGTATAAAGACAATTTCCTGATTGACATATTTTATAAAACACCTGAACTGACCGTTTGGTATTTTTCTTTTCTTCTTTCTGGCTTAATGAGAGCAGTGGGCTTTATATTGCCCTGCAAGGCTTTAAACCTGGGTTTGAATGGAGACAAAGCCATTCTAAAGCACATATCAAGGTGCTCATTTTGAGGCTGAATCCATATTTATTTTTGATCCTGTTCATGGTGAAGAATCCTGCTTCACAGCAGCAGGATGAGCCAAACATACTCTAAATGTGCTGGGTCATCTATGAGCACACTAAATCACTCTGTCACCAGTTCACCGCAGTAGCTAGCAGCAGCAACCCAGACTGACACAGCTCATTGGCTATTTTTTATCACATGTAGTCTGGTGCTTGACGCTCCAGAGGGCTTTACCGTAAAAACAGGAGAATAATTAAAAAATGTTTTAAATCAGGTTGCGTCCGGATTAACCAGCAGGTGGGTCCAGTTCCGGACCTCAGCTCTAGGCTACAAAGGATACAGGGAACCTTGACCTGTAGGAGGCACTGTTCTGCAGAGAGCAGTATTTTAGAAGTCTGATCTGGAGACGTGCTTTTTGGCTTTATTAGAAAGTTAAAAAAAAACACTAAAAAAAACATAGGGAATTTGTGCCCTGCAATAGACTTGAAACCTGTCCAGGGTGTACCCTTCCTCTCGCCCACTGACAGCTAAAGATAAGCACCCGCAGCTTTATAGGGCACTCAGTGAAATACTTTGAAAATCAAAATTTCAAGCCAATAGTGTTATTGGAATCCAGGAAAAGACCCTATTACCTTTGTAACATTCCAGAAATATGGATATTTTGATGGCAAAAATGTAGTAAAAGGAAACAGCAAGTTCCCTGAATATATTAAGAAAAATAACAAAATTGCTTCTAGAAGAAATTCATGAAAAACACATTCTTTGGTACAACATAACCTTAGAGGCATTAATACCGATACTGGCGCTTACATTTTTTAGTTTATAAACCTAAATATAATTGTTAACTAGGCTTATTAACTTTTTAACTGTACTTTTTAACTTTTCAAATAGCTTTTTACCTTTTTTTTGTCTTGACTTCTTTTTTCAACTTAAATCACAGTAGGTAATATATCATTCAAGGGCTCATCTAATTGGTCAAATGCCAAAATAAGATGTACAGCTATGTGGCAGTATATTTACTGTACGGCTGGATATAGATCTTGTGCTTCTAGACCTCACTTGTCCTATTAAGGGCTAAGCGTGAAAGAAAATGTATGGAAATGTTAATTTTGGATTTAGAACACACATAACAGTCTATCATGTCAAAGTTTTATTGTACCAAATTGAAGGCTGAATCTTATGCTTCAATTTCTAGTGAAATATTGTGTCCCTGTCAGTAAGATTTGGTTATAATATGCATTGATTAATGTCACTGGTTATAGACGTATGCAACTGAAGCAGCATGTATTCACTCTCAAACCCACCAACCTGCGTCAGTGAGGGAGGGGTGCGGCTGTGACCCCTCACCAGACAAAGAGCCATTCAGCCCTCTCTGCTGGTCC